CCTGGGAATGGAGGGTAGACAGGGGACCCCTTGAGAGATGTAACTACTGTTTTAAAATCAGAGCCAACAGGGCAGCAGTCAGGGTTGATTAAGGATATTTACAAATAAGAATGATCTTTACAATGGGGTACCCCTTTCATGAAGTGAAGTTGGCTTGGCCCTGAGCTGTGCGTGTGTATACACCTGGGTGTGAACACTCAGTACTGCAGGTCGTGGGGAGTAATGGATTCCCAAGGAATTGTTGAAGTGGGGAGGATTCAGTCTCTGAGCTTGTTTTTGGAAGGTAGAAGTTATGGCAACTCCCTACCCACCCCGACAGAGAGAGACACACACATACAGAACTTTTCCTTCTGGTGGCAGCCCCGTTAGCAGCAGCACAGACTACTAGGGTGTGAGCAGAGATTGCCAGGTGCTGAATCCATCTGCAAAATTGTAACAGAGTCCAGAAACCCATAAGAGAAATATGGGGAGTGCAGTCAGAATTAATGCTTTAAAATTTGGAGGATAATGAAAGAGCAGTGCACTGGGAGTCGGGAAAAATGCAGTCTCAGTCCTGAGTCTGTTACTTAAAATCTGTGTGATCTTAGGCCGTTTAATTCAATTCCATTTCTTTATTGAGCACCAGCATTTACTGAGCACCTTCTAGAGGCTGCGGACAAAAGAGTGAAAAAGACAGTATCTGTGTCCCTCAGGACACTCACAACCTTGCCCAGGGGAAAAATATTTAAATGGGTAGTAAAGTAAATGCTAAGAAGCACACAGGAGGAGTACTGAGCAGAGAGAGTGGTGAGTCCTGTCTGGGTGCAACTGGACCTGGACAGCCTTCAGAGAGTGGGGGGCACTTGAGCGGCCCTCCAAGCCCGAGTCAGCTCTGCTGAGCAGATGCAGGAGGAAGGCCTTCCAGCTCAGTCACTTTGCCTGAATTCTCACCACCTTCATATTTGAGGGAAGCTCTAAAACCGGAGTCCAAGTTATTTAGCACAATTCCTGAAGCTACCGAGAGCTGTGGCCACCACCACCAGAGAGTATGCTGCAGTTACAGGTGGACCAGCTGCCTGAACTTCTGTGATTTCTCTCAAGACTTAGTCTCTTTCATCTGGTTACCCTGCACCAGCTGGTTTTCATCTTGGAGTTCCCTCTCCTTGGATATGAAACCAAGCTGGCGGGTGGGGGGGGGGGTGTAATTTTTTTTTTCCTTGATTGTTGTGGTGTATTTTACCCACTTGCTTTCACTGCTGTAGTTCTACTCATAGCAGTGTCTTTGTTTTGTTTTTGCAAAATTTCTGTTCTTGACTATCCAGAAAGTAGGCAAACCAAATGGTTTTTCTCCCTGAGTCATAAATCTGATCTTGTTAATCCTCTGCTCAAAAACCTGCAATGTGGTTGGTACCTACAGAATCAAAAGGGATTTCCTTTCCAGAATCCTCTAAGGAACTGACCACAACCTAGTCTTCCCTTTCATGCTCTGTAATCTACCTTCTCTAGATTCCTGTCTTCTCCCCGACGAGCATCTTTGCATTCTTGCCTCTGTGCCTTTGCTTCTGTTGTTTCCTATGCCTGGAATTTCCTCTCCCAGCCCAGTCTCTTCTTCTTCCCATCCATGACCCACTCGTCTTCATAAAGCCTTCCTTGATCTCCCCACCTTCAAAACCAGAAAGGTGGTCTCCTTTCTCTCAACCTCAAAGTCTGAGGGGAAATGTCTATCGATCAGAATTCTATATCTCACTGAATTCTCAAACAAAAGCAAGTGATAGAAATTTGCCTATCAAACAAGTCTGAATGAGTTTGCCTCTCATAGACCCTCTCAGAATGAAAAGATATACTCCCAGTTGCATGTTCAGGGACCTAGGTTGCTACCTTGAGATCAGCCAAGGTGAAAGTATTTACACCGTAGAATCAGTAAATGATACAAAATAGGACATTTCTTTTTTCCTGAAGAGCCAACTCATCTGAGTGTGAATTGGTGACCCTGCTACATGTATATATGTATGTGTGTGTGCGTAGGTGACCATGCACACACATGTGTGTACACATAAATATTCGACACACTATTAATGTTGGACAGTTGAAACTGCACTGTCAGCCAGCAGTGCTTCCTCATTTGGCTGCTGGAGAGAGCCATGAGGGTCGGAGTCACTAGGAAGCGTGTCTCTCTTCACACTCTCAACTTATCCTCCTCTCCTCTCCAGAGCTGGAATTGTAATACCTATGACCCCACCTCCTTCTTGCTTCTGTGTCCTTGGCAAATGTGGTCGCATCCTGGAATCAGAGCTAACACACTAATTGAGGATCTGTGTATCTGCAGTTGCTCAAAGTTCACTCTTTGTAGTAGAGAATCTTGGCTTGACTACACAGACATCAGTAAACGGTCTCCTGTTTCTGTTCATAATTTGTTCTCTTAGAAATGGGTGAAATGCAGGCAATAAGACTCCCATGTTAGAAGGAGAACTCTGCAGGCCGCTGCCGCTGTCTGTGCCCATACCTGCTGCTGGTCAGGCCTTGGGCCATCCCTCATAGGCCAGGAGGAGAGGTTCCAGTTCTGCTGGGATAGTTGACCTCTGTTGGACACAGAAGCCAAAGTCTGATGACTGGAGCGCAGACCAAGAAGGAGAAGGCACACCAAGAGACAAGAAGTGACGTGTAGGTCAGGACTAGGGGAGCTGGGAAACCGAGGCTCCCAGGCTGGTGGTGAAGTTGACCTGTGCTCTCTGGGAGGCAGCACAGGGACGTGGGGCTGGGGGGGATGGGAGGGGATGGCAGAGGCCGGGGTCTTGGAGAGAGCTCAGCGACCTTGCAGTTCCTCTCCTGGGCTCTGCCTCAGGTGGCAGCTTCCCGCTGACGTGGGTCCGGAGGAGGTTAAAATGCTGGATGCGGGCAGGGAACTCTTGTGCTGCAGGGGAAAGTTGGAGGGTGTTTCCTGTCTGTCAGCAGGAGAAGGATCTTCTAGATTGAGGCTTGCTTCTAAAACTGCATGCCGTCACTCCGTGCCTGTTGCTTTTCTCCTGCCAGGGTCGCTCGTGTGAGAGTGCCTAGCACAGGGCTGGAGACAGGAGGGCCCCCGCAGTCATCAGCGGCTTTGCTGGCAGAGTTGAACATGGCCTGTTTAACAACGTCGTGCATACGTTCGTTCCTTCAAAGTACACAGGAATGCGTCGGTTAGGAGGGAATTATCACTTTGGGGGCAGTCTCTGCCCTTGCCCCAGTCCATTAGCCTTCCAAAGCGAGCCACTTTTTATTTGATTGCTTTTAAACTTTTATTGATTTCTTGTTTCATTTGTCTTCTGCCCCTGGGTCCCCCTGTGCAGGGCCAGTTTTGCTGGAGAAAGTGCAGGAGGCCCTGTCGCAGGGGCTTCTGTGGGTGGTGCAGGCACTCTGCCAGGAGAGACCAGAGAGCACAAAGATACCTCAGATTTTCAGTCACATTTCTCTTTCTGAACCAAACTGGTTTCACTTCTCAGTCGTTAACTTTGTAGCAGAATTCTGGCGGTTGCACTGGTTTTGAGGGAGGGTGTCTATTTCAGACTATAAAAACTGCTTTTAGGGTGAGGCTGTGTGGTGGCCAGAGTCCCAGTGATGCAGGAGACCTGGTGACGTTCTCCTTCCAGGGGAATTCTTGGGGCTGTGCACGTATCAGTACAGACCGCTCACAGGGCATTGTTTTGCTTAGAGAAAAGCAACTGGAGTGTGTCACTTAGGCCTGAGGACCGCAGTGCAACACTGAAGGGACTTGTCGCAGGTCCACAGGCTCAGGGACCCAAGGAGTCATTCCAGCCCTGCTGGAAGGACTCACCGTGGGGAGGCTGCTTCCCCAAGCAGGGCAGGAGAGCCCAGCTTTGCTCTCCTGAGAGCTCACCGCAGAGCGGGCTGGAGGAATCCGCCTGACAGAGGAAAAGGACATCGGCAACTCGTGGTTATGTTCTGGAGAAGCTTCACACCATGCCCACCTGCAGTTAAAGGGAAAGAAAGGAGAAAGGGAAATTAGTAGTCTTCGAGTCTAATGTAAAGAAAGCTCTGCCTTTCTTGTTCAACTGATAAAGCCTCCTCTGACCCTTGGGTCACTGAAATGTCTCTGGTCCTGTGAACTCCGATGCTTGCTGAAGCTGTCCTGTCTGACTCATGGGGGCCAACCTAGTGTGTTGAATGCAGGATAAGCTGCTAAGTAGAGGCAAAACGATTGCAGCCTCTTAGAGAAAAACAAACCTGGATCCATGGAGGTGAGGCCAAGACCTTCAATCCAATTGTCTAGAGAAAAGTTATTTTTAGAAATCCAAGTAAAGTAATTAAAAATAAAGAGAAATATTTTCTCTCTGCTTGCAGCCAAAGGCAGTTAGATGGTGTTGGCCAGTGAACACCTAAGCTCATTCCTAGAGTTATGGGACAGAGTTCAGTTTCCTGTGGTCCTGGTGTGAGGTTACTCGGTTTATTTGAGGAGGTACAACTGAAATGAATAATTTAGTCATGGTCAACACGGGTAAAAGTAAGCTGTTTATTCCTCATACTAAAACATGAAGATAAAAAATGATCTAAATATAGGAACACTCTTAAACCATCAAAATGCTTTAGCTTCCACATATGAGAGGAATTTTTACTCTTTGGAAATTTCGGAATAATAACAGCCTGGCATCATGCCCAGAATAGTAGGTGCTCAGTAAATAATTATTGAGTTGTTTTCTCCCATAAAGAGAGAGTAAAGAATAGTATGTGCTTATTATAAAAATCCATGCACTTAAGGTAAAAATAACCTGAAATCCTACCACTTAGCCTTGAGGATATATCCTCCCAGACATTTCAATGCACATAAATGTATACCTTCTTTTACAAAACCAGAATTGTACTGTATGTGATATTTTATAAACTGTCTCCATGTCAATAAATTGGATCCTTTTATTTAGCTGCAAAGGGGCATGACATAATATCCAGTGTAAGGAAGAATTTGTCAATTCCTGTAGTTTATGACTTGACACATCTCATGTGCTGTTTTTGTTTGTTTGTTTTAGCAGGTCTCTTCTGCAGAGGTACGCATCGGGCCCATGAGACTGACGCAGGATCCTATCCAGGTACACCTCCGTTCCTCTGTAGGGACTTGGTTTGCAGAGCAAGTGGTTATAGAAGCACTACGCGAGGGGCTCTTTCACATACAGCAGATGGCCATCCTTGCCCTGACGTGCATGCCCACATATCCATACGTGGTGTGTGTGTATATGCCTGTGTGCAAAGGCTTGTTTTTATTAATGTCAAACGAGGAATCAGATTGCTTTCTTGAAGACAAATATTGCCCCATTTTGAGTATAAATAATATAATAGGTAGAGCGATTGCATGGTAGGTCGTGAGGGAGAACAACTCTTCACCAAAAAACGCGTCTGTTCTACATGCTGCTTCCGCAGCTGGAAAGGGAAGAAGCCGTGTGTGGTAAAGGGCAGGGCTTTGCCACGAGCCACGGCTGGGTGGGAATCCTGGCTCTGCCTTTACCAGCTCTGTGACCTTGCATGTATTGCTTCACTTCTCTACCCAGTGCCTTGTCTGTAAAGTGGAGACGGTAATGTCTCTCTCTTAGGAAGTTATGAGCTCAAGGAAATAGCATCAGGTGCTTGGGACACTGCCTGGCAGTAGAAGGTGCTCAGTGATGGTAACTGTTGTCCTGTGTGACTAGAGGCAGGCAGCCTACTGGGCTCTGAAGCACCAAGGCTCCTGGTTCCAGGGAGAGAAGGGGCCAGCGCCTGCAGCCTTGACCACCCTCCAACATCAGCAGTACCCATGTCCTCCCCACCACCCCTCCAGCTTTCTGTGTGCCCTGTGAGGAAATAGGTATGAGAAGTGTTTGTTAAGTCCTCATCTGCATCTGCATCTTCCTGGTAGACCTAGATGAGCCACCTTCCTCCTTGTAAAACTGTAGCTTGTTAGCACCTGGAAACTTGTGCTGTACTTTGGACGAGTGAAGATGTAGAGAAGATGTAAATAAACCAATTAACATGTAGATGAAAGTGAAAAACCAACCAAAGAAATGTACTGTTTGATTTAAGAGCGGTTGGAAAAGAAAATAATTTACTGTTGCTCGGAAAAGGAAATGCAAATCTAGGGAAAGGAAAAAAACAAGAGATTTAAGCTTGGGAAAATTGGATGAAAACAAATTTAGGAGCAGAGAGAGAGAGGAAGAGAGAATTTATTAAAATAAACATAAGCCACAACTATTTATATAGAATACAAACAAGTGGAAAATTCCAGTATTCATTCTGGGGGCATGGACTTTGTAGTCCATTTTGAATGAAGGCAGTGACAAAGGTTCTGATATCAGTATTTATTCCCAAAGTAATTTCCAGAATTTTTCTTGGGATTAGTGTGGTTTTAGATCAGTTACTTTAATTTACCTTCATTTTTCACCCTGTGTTGTACTGGCAATGAATGCTCATGATAAGGGCATCTCATTCTTAAATCTTTTTTTTTTTTTGAGATTTTTTTTTTTTTGATGTGGACCATTTTTAAAGTCTTTATTGAATTTGTTACGATACTGCTTCTGTTTTATGTTTTGGTTTTTTGGCTGCGAGGCATGTGGGATCTTAGCTCCCCGACCAGGGATTAAACCCGCAACCCCTGCATTGGAAGGCAAAGTCTTAACCACTGGACCACCAGGGACGTCCCCAAGGATGTCTCATTTTTATAAAATATAATTTGTTAAATTGTAAAGTATTTTAAATACTCATAAAAGTACATGTGTATACCCATATCCACTTTTATGAAATATGCTAATTTTATTTTATCAAACATGATAAATTTATTTTATCAAGGATGTCCTATTTGTCTCAGAGTTCTTTTTAGAAACGAGATTACAGATACTTTAAGCCTTATTTATCCCTTTGCCCTCCTCTCTCTTCCCTAAAAGTAACCACTGTTTGGAGATTGATTATGATAGGTATTTGTATATTTCTTCTACATATTCATGTATCCATTTTTAAAAATTATTTATTTATTTTTGGCTGCATTGGGTCTTTGTTGCGGCACACGGGATCTTTTGTTGCAGCACGTGGGATCTTTCGTTGCAGTACACGGGCTTCTCTCTAGTTGTGGTGCACAGGCTTCAGAGTGTGCGGGCTCAGTAGTCGTGGCACACAGGCTCTCTAGTTGTGGTGCATGGGCTCTGTAGTTGTGGTGTGTAGGCTCTAGTTGCGGCATGCGGGCTCTGTAGTTGTGGCACGCAGGCTTAGTTGCCCTGCAGCATGTGGGATCTTAGTTCCCCGACCAGGGATTGAACCCGTGTCCCCTGCGTTGGAAGGCAGATTCTTAACCACTGGACCACCAGGGAAGTCCCATGTATCCATTAATATTTACTTTGTCTTGAATATTTTAAACTTTATTTGAAAGGTGTCAGGCAGCAGGCATCATTCTGAAATTTTTCTTTATCATTTAGTGTCGTACCTAAGAATCTATCGCCTAATCTGAGGTCACAAAGTGTTACTCCTTTGTTTTCTTCTAAGAGTTTTATAGTTGTAGCTCTTATATTTAGCTCTATGATCCATTTTGATTTAACTTTTGTATGTGGTGTGAGGTAGGGCTTCATTCTTTTTGGATATCTAGTTGTGCAGCAGCATTTGTTAAAAAGAATATTCTTTCCCCATTGAATTGTCTTGGCATGTTTTTCTAAAATCAACTGACCATGATTGTGAGCATCTATTTCTGGATTCTTATTTCTATTCCATTGATATATGTCTGTCCTATGCCAGTACCACACTATCTTGATTTCTGTAACTTTGAAGTGTGAGTCTCCCGACTTTCTTATCTTTCAAGGTTGTTTTTGCTGTCTGGGTCCCTTGAATCTTCATATGAATTTCAGGACCAGCTTGTTAATTTGGGGAGTGAGGGGGACCAGCTGGGATTTTGATAGTGATTGCATTAAACCTGTGGATCAATTTGGGAATATTACTGTGTTAACCACTTTGTCTTCCAATCCATTAACATAAGATGTTTTTCCATTTATTTAGATTTTCTTTAACTTCTTTCACCAATGTCTTGTAGTTTTTAGTGTAGTGTTTTATATTTTTGTTAAATTTATTCCTGAAATATTTTATTCTTTTTGATGCTATGACAAATGGAATTGTTTCCTTACTTTCAGTTTTGGGTTGTTCATTGCTAGTGTATAGAAATCTATTTATTTTTGTATATTGATTGAACTCATTTATTAGCTTTTACATTTTTGTGTGAATTCTTTAGGATTTTCTATATACAGGATCATAACATTACTACTCTCTTCCCAATCTGAATGCCTTTTATTTTGTTAGCCTGATTGTCCTGCTAGAACCTTCAAAACAATAGTGTGTTTAGACACTATTTATAAGATATATCCAGATCTTTTCTCAAAGTGGTTGTACCATTTTACACTCCTACAAGCAATGTGAGTTCTTATTACTTCAAATCCTTGGTAATGTTTGTTTCAGTCTCTTAATTTTAGCTCATCTAGTAGGTGAGTAGTTCTATCTTACGGTAAGTTAAATTTGCATTTCTCCATGACTAATAATGTGAGCACTTTTTTGTTCGCTGATTGGCCATTTTTAAAATCTTCTGTGAATGTTTAGTTAAGTCTTCCGCCCATTTTTAGTTGGGTTGACTTTTAAAAAACTACTGAGTTGTGGGAATTCTGTATATATTCTTGTCCCGAGTCCTTTATCAGATTTTGAAAATATTTTCTTCCAATGTGTGGCTCCTGTCTTCATTTTCACAAACTTGGATTTTGAGCAAAAATTTTAGTTTTGATATAGTCTAATTTATCACTCCTTTTATGGTTATTACTTTCTGTGGTCTATGAATCCTTAATCCCAGGTTGAAGATTATTTCTCGTTTTCTTCTAGAAACTTTATTGTTAAATTTTAATTTTAGATCTATAATCTGTCTCAAGTTCATTTTTATGTATGGTGGAATAAAGAGGTCAAGGCTCTTTTTCCTTCCATGTTGAATGAGCAGCTCCATTTGTTGAAATGACTGTGTATTCCTTGCTCCATTGAATTACCTGATGCCTGATTCTTTCATACTTGTTGCAACTTGTTTGGTAGCCAATAATGTAGCCAGTTTTGAAATTTTCCACAAAAACTTTTAAAAAAGTGTATCTCTATTTCTGGAATACAGGTTTCTATATCTGTGAAATTAATTCAACTTTATTAATGATGCTGTTGAAATCATCTCTATCTTAATTTTTTGTGTTCTGTTAGTTTCTATTGTAATGGATATGTCAATATCCTCAATATTTCTTAATATTTTCTTATGTTTTGAGTCTGTCATGTTAATGTACATCCAAGTTCTAGATTGTTGTGTGTTCTTGGTGACTGATCCTTTTATTATTATGTAGTGTCCCTCTTTAAACTTCTGCCTTAATTTCTATTTTATTTGTTGGTAATATGGCTGGACAAGCTTTCTTTGGTTAATATTTTCCTGGTATATCTTTTTCTATCTTTTCATTTTCGGTTTTATCTATAACTTTATCCCTCTTATAAGGAGCACATAGTTTTATTTTTCTAAAACCTATTCTGATAATCTGACTTTAATAAGTGAGTGTAATCTTGTTCCACTGAGTGTGATTACTGATACAATTAGTCTTGATTTTCTATTTGTTACCCTTTTTCTTTTTCTCATATTTCTACTTTTTGTTAAGTTGACATAGTTTTCGGAATTACCTTTTATTTTCTCTGTTTTAGAAACTGTAGGTTACGCTTCTATTTTAGTGGTTACCCTTAGCTTGTTTTTAATATGTTTGTTTAGCAGTCAAATTTTATAACAAAGTCTCAAGTGTACTGTATTTCTATCCTCTCAAATACGATATAGTCCTTTGCAGTATTTAAATATCCCATAACGGACTCACTCCCTCATCACAAAAACAATTGTCTGTAATTTTGGGCTTATTCTATTTGGTATGTTAAAACATAACGCACATTTTAAATTCGTGCTCATAAGCTATGAAATATAATAGTAAAACTAATGCCGTGAACCCACCACCCAGCATGAGAGGTGGAGTGTTTCCACTGCTACCGTGTACCCTGCCTGGTTCCTGTCACATGAGTTTGGCCCCCATGACAG